CCAAATTGAACAGTCAGCAGTATAGCACTTTGATTCGCAAGTCCCATTGCGGAAAAACAGCATTCGATAAGTTTTTTTTTTTAGTTTTTTTTATTTCTTGTATTTGGGTAGAATTGCGAAAAATTTGAAAACAGAAAGTGCTTCCCGAGAACAAAATTTTATGCCTTTGGGTCACATGCATTTGAAAGTGAGCATAACGCTTTTTTTAGTAAAAACCAAATTTTTTTTATTTATTTACATATTTATTTATTTATTTGCTTTTAAAAGTTTAGCTCTCATACGAAACCATCGCAAACTCAAGTTGTTCTATTTGAAGTGTTCCTAAGTGAAATAAAATCCCCTCCAGTCTTCTGGGAAATATGTTCGAATCGAAAGTCTAATTTGACAGAGCATTGATAGTTTCAGACAGGCCTGAAAACGAGACGGAAAAGAGAAAACGCTGGTAGTAGAACAACTATTTCAATACTAGATAATTTTCGGGTGGAGTAAATCTATTCTTAACAATAAACAATTTATTTCTATTAATTTTTGCTCGGGGGAAAAGGCAATTCAATAGATAAAATGCATACGTTAAAAAAATTGGTAGTTATGTATATTTTATTATTCCTGAAGAAAAAAAGCTAAAAATGATCCTTTTTTATTTACCAGTTCTTACTCTTTTCCGTCATGATATATATGAACTTTCAGCCCTGGTATCAGATGGTTTCAACTCTATCACAGCATATATACAAGCTAAACGCAGATTTTTTCGATAAAGCCATAGAATGTAAAACAGCAAATTTTAATGAAATCTTTAAATTTTAAAATTATATCAAAGATAAAAACTACAGACCAATAGCTGCACATTTCACCTCCGACGCCTCATATCATAACTATCAAAACAAATAATTTCATAAACCTTTCTGAAAATAACGTTTCCTCATGCTGATACAATTCTGAACAACTCCAAAATCAAACAAACACAGTTTAGAGTAAGCTGCTCAATTTATTTTTGATTCCTTTTTAGTTATTCAAGCAAAGAACTTGAAACATTCATAAAAGCAACTCCATTGCCTGCTTACCTCATTGCTCAACCAAAACTGTTCTAAAATTCCAGATGAATGGGATAGGGGCCGCTTCGCGGCCCAGGTACACAATAAAATCGAAACGCTAGGACTAGGTATCAGATGGTTTATACAATAAACAAACATATAACTAAATTAAATATCAAATTCTATGAAAAAGCCACCTCTTGCTCTGTAGTAAATGTCAATGAAATATTCCTGTATTAAAATTTAACTGAAGGCAAAAACATATCAGACGAATAGCAGTTTATGCTGATATTAATGATAGATTATGTAACTATATAAATAAAATCTTACGGAAAATCGGTAATTATTGGTATACATTTTTTTTTCAAGAACGTGTTCTTGAAAGGAAACTGTAGCTCCTGGTTGGTTAAACAGGGTTCGTACGGTTGTTAGAAAAATTAAAAAGTGGTTTTAATGAATAAAGAAGTTGAAATGTTATTTTTATTATCTATGATACAGATTTCATGACTAGATACATGGAAATAATTAAGCTTAGTGGTAAATAAAAGCTACTTAAATTACATTTTATTCTCATAATTTTGCTACCACTTTTTAAATTGTTTAAGGACCGTACGAACCCTGTTGAATCTCGCAAAAATAACAGCTGGAAAAGTTTTAATGTATATTGTCTTGTCTTGAAATTTGAGCTGGGCCCCTATCCCATCCATCATGTTTCTTTTTATTTGTGATGAAACTTTGAGGTTAGCGATCTATGTGGTTTTAATGTATATTAAAGTTTTAAATTAATATAAGTAATAGTATATAATATTAAAAAAGTGGTGTTAAATTTGTGATCATTTTTTTGTGTGAATGCATAGGGCTTTCACTTTCCTACGCTTTTTTGGAAAACATCTTCTAGTGGCAGCTAAATTAATGTTTTAATAAATGATTCTTCGTTTTGTAAATTTATTTTTCACACCATTACGTGTAAATGAGAGCTGGAAATTACCAATGGAAAGCTTTAATTTTTTTATTGTTTATAATTATTATCTATGTAATAAGTGTCTCGATAAAATGTTTTACAAATAGCGTAGCAGTGGGCAGCCCGGTGAATATAGTTCCCGTTTTAACTCTCACTTAAATTTCAAGGAATCATGTAAAGATAATATCAAATCTAAATTACATATTTTTTCCACTGCCAATATATTGCGCCTAAACTTCACCCAAAACTGATTCGAAATAGTATATATGACCCCCACTTTTTTTATTTTCCCATGATCCAAATTTCAAATTTCCTAACTTCCTCTTTAATGGAACTGGATTTAAACTTTTTTGCACACGATAATAAAATACGCTTATTCAAAAATAATTCCAAGCGAAAAATAATTTTTAATAATTCTTTATGATTTATTATAATTTTTTATTATTTTATTTAATAATAATTCAACAATTTTGAATTAAAAGATCTACAACTTTTTACGTAACTTTAAAAAATATAATTTTACAAGGCCAAATACAGCATTTGAACGAAATAGGTCGAATAGTACCCGAGAGATCAAATTTTAAAAATGTCAGATATTTAAAACTCGATTTGTCAGAAATTGTTCCACCGATTTCGTTCAGATCTTGTATTTTGCGACATAAAACCATATTCTTTAAAATGATGTAAAAGTTTGTATATCTTACAATAAAATAATAAAAAATAAGTAATAATTAAAAATTATTTTTTGCATGGAATTATCTTTGTACAAACGAATTTTATAATTATGTGCAAAAATGCTTGAAGAAAACATTTTAAAATTTAAAACATTTTTTAAATAAAGATGGATTATCCATTGTTGTAGAAAAAAGAAATAATTTTCTCACGAGATCTTTATTTCTTCATTTTATAAGTTCGCGTTCAAAAAAATGCCATTCACAAGAAGCAAAAAAAAAAAAAGAGAGAGAGAGAGATGTTGCCAGAAAGTACAAATGATAATTTTTCAAATTTAGTCTATTATATCGTCTATTTCATAAAGATTAACATCTTAACAAAATGTTCTCACGTAAAGCTACAATGATTGCATATTTTGAAGAAAAAAAAATTTCTGTGTTTGTGAAAAGAATAATGACTATGAAAAACAATCAATTAAGGGGTTGGCGAGCGGAGCCAGTTGGAGGTTAAGGCTCTTAGTGTATCAAAAAAATGTGAAAGTCAACTACTTTGTTTTGAAACAATATATAAAATTAAGTTAATAGAGCGAGTTTTTTTTTTAAATTTATTATTTTAAAATTAACTTGATTTAATTTTCCTATGACTGAAATTTCTATCACATTATCTTAGATCCGACTATACCGGATGTTTGGCAATAAACTGGTGTTATTCTTGCAATGGTGTTGGGTTCCCCTACCAGTTAACAACCAGTACCCATGATTGGATGATTGCAGTGATTATTATGATCAATAAGGAGATAAGCTAATTCAAAAGGATTCCCTCAAAAGGAAGCAGCAGCTATAATAGATCATTTCATAATATAATAACTTTGAAAATCTTGTGATAAGTACATATTATTCATTTTTACCTTTTATCTAAATTTTGAACAATATTAATTCAATAAAAAAAATATTTTGACAGTAAATTAATTAGAATTACTTCCGATCTGAAGAAAAAAAATAAAAGCGGTGGGAAAAAATTTTCATTTATAATTAGCTATTGATAAAATAAAAAAAAAATAAAAAATAACGGTAGTGAAACATGTACTACTTAAAAATTCGTCATTATTTTAAGATATGTCTTAGAAATGAGATCATCGACGCCAAATGGGTTTTAAGAATAGGAATTGTGCTGCCATTATACAGTCATTGAAAAAGCATTTACAAAATGGTTTCAAAATATAATCGTAAAAGTAGGATCTATTTTCTGAAAATTAAAATTGGTGTGTGTAGTGTGTACACCGGAAAAGGAAAAAACTGGTTGTGAAACCATTTCATTACTAGACAGTTTTAAAAAGTAAAATAAAGGCTTTTACTACATTTTAATATAATTAATTTTTTCCCCAGTTAAGAAACAGCCGTATGCATGTCTATTGAAGTTTAATAATTAAGGGATATTTTGATCTTCCTGAAAATAAGATTAATCTAAACTGGTTTTACTAAATAAATCTTCTCTTTTCCGGGGGTACAAACAGCCTAGAATTTAAATATTTCGCCAACTATAAGAGCAACTGCCTAATTAATCGATCTTCATACATGTATTTGAACAATTGATTTTTTTTATCACAGTAGATAAAATATGTTTTTTTTTTCTTTTGAAATTTCAAAAACTAAGATTAAACATAAAAATTGCATGCAAACTTTACTATCTCAACAGCCTTATTAGTTAGCAGCTATTATATAAGAATAAATTTATTTTAAGGTTTTTCTTTTTTTTTTTTATTATCACGGAGCTTCATATATCACGATACTGCACTACCGATAGGTAAAAAGTATAAAACGTTTTAAATGACCACACTGAAATTAAAATTTTAAATCATTCTCTCTCTCTCGCTAAAAATGAAAAATAACTCGTTATGTTATAGAAAAGCTATGGAAAAATCTATTGTAGATGCTTATTACCAAATATTTTTCGTAACTACCAAATATTATTAACTGTTCAAACGAAACTTATCTGTGGAAGTAAATGATAGAATGTCTTCGTAAAATCAAAGTGAAAGCTAAATCTAAAAAAAAAAGAAAAAAAACTTTAGGTTGTTATCTAATATATGTTACCAGTTTTTAATCCTTTTTACAGGCTGTAAAAAAAATTATAATAATTATAATATTAACAGCATTAACTGATGCAGATGTTCTAACTCAATTCAGAATTCTTTTATGCAAAATTGTAACCAGCTCTAAACACAATTTATAACAATTTTCTGAAATTTCTGATTTCAAGTTATGAAATGAAATAAGAAACAATAAAAAATACTTCAAATTAATCAAAAAATGAGCAATCAAAGTCTGAAAACTTACGTGGTCTCACAATTAACTCAGGTGGTTGAACAGCTCTTCCTAAGCAGACATTTTCAAAATCTGGACAGCAGTCACCACCATTTTCTCGATCGCAAAATAAGTCACAGTAACAGACAGTTCCGAGTATTGGTACTGTACAAGTATCGTCTCTCTGAGGACAGCATTGTTGAGGTCTTCTACCACTACAATAATTTCCTCGCAAATCATTATCAACATATCCATACGCGTAATACCCTTGATCGGGATCTTTCTGTGCGTTTACCAAGTTCAATAATAATGTAAAAATTATAAAATATATTAAAAACATTGTGTTCATCATTTTATCGCCTGCATGGAACGAACTAAAATAATTTTTGCATAAATTAAGGTGCAAACGATTTTTTTAAAAATTAATACGAAAATAAATTATAAATAAAATATTATAATATTATTTTCCACTGAAGAAAGTACAATGGATGGAAACACATCAAGCAGTCTCTTCTCACAGGAAATTCGAAGGAAATTATGGAACACTTTCAGAGGGAACAATCACATTGCTGAATGATTGGAGTCGTCTGATTGTTTATTATAAGAAAATATCGCGCAGCGCCACCTCAGAGAAATTTGCCTCGCCTGATTCAAAAATGATACAATCAACATAACCGTCCCTTTGTATGAAAATAAAAACAAATTATTTTTAAGTTGTTTCACTAATAAAGCAAATATTTCAAGGAGGAAAAAAATAAATTAACCTAGAAATTTGAGACATCCGAAATTTATTCGACTTTTACCATGATCTTATTTGCTATATTATACCAAAATAATTCTATTTTCCTAAAAATAAAAATATTTGAACAAGATTTGAAATCGAATTAAAGATTTTACAGAATAAACACATAGTTATGTGAATAGATAGATGTAATAAATAGATGCAAAAATTATATTAATAATAATAAAGAAACTCTTATGAATTTTAATACCCCTAACTTCCATTTTGGTAATAAAATTTTTCTTTGAGCTTAGGTTCACCTTTGAAAAAAAAACTGTCGAAAGATAATGTGATAATAATTCTTAGGTAAAAACTACAAGTAACGTATAGTTAATATAAAAACTTAAAGTGAATAGGCCGAAAACTAGAATATAATTATTTTTACTCCTTTCTTCATTACATTTCATTCGTTACTTATTTTTACTTTACGTAAAAGTATATTAATGCTGACGAAAACTGACTTCTTAAATTTGATATTAACAATATTTTTCACCGTAACATCACATTTATTTTATTTGTTTATTTAAAAATATTTCATGAAATATTTACTTTTTAGAGAAGGGGTGAGATGCAGTTATACCTCTTTTAAAGCTGCCAAATATAGTCGAAGTTTAAAAAAAAAAAAAAATTCTAGTGGCATCAAAATTTATGCTTTAATATCTCTTAGTTTTATTCAAGAACATTTCAACCATCACAACGGTGAAAAAATTAAAATAAATGCATAAAAGACCTGTTATTCTTGCTCAGGTGAAGATGCTTTTAAAAACTGTTTAAATTAAGTAAATATCTTTTTGTGACAAAACTTATTTCTTTTTTTCAGAAAAAAAAACTACGCTTTAAGCTAAAGATTTCTTCCAGTTGCAATTGAATGACAATCATCTATTTTCCAATTCCAATATGTATATATATATTTAATTTTGCAAGAAATTAAAAATATCCACGCATGATTCTCAATTCTCTTTCTTACATGTACGTTTGAAATATTTATATGCCGCGGTAGTCAAAACCATTTAAAATCACAAAGTAAAAAAAAAAAAATTAATGAATAAAATGAAGATGTAATCATAAATTGTACTGTCGCTGAAAAAAAGTCTACAAAGAACGTATAAAATGGTAGTTATGAGAATAATGAGTATGCTCAATTTTTAATTTAAAAGCAAACTTAAACAATCAATACTCTAAGTTTTACTCCCTTTTAAATACTTTAGAGAGGACGTATTTGTTGACATGCTTAATTGTGCACTTTCGACATTTTTAATGTCTAAAAATAAGTATGTAAAATAAAATTGGTATAAATTTCCTCTCTTTTTTAAAAAAATAAGTTATTGGTAAACGCAAAAAAGAAAAAATCATAATTACGACAAAATATTTTTAATAAAAAAGATACGTTCATTTTTAATCAAAAGTTCTGAACTCTCTATTTTGAAGATTTACGTGGTAGCATTCCTATTTCATCCTTAATCTTATTCATAAGTTTTCTACCCACTCACTTCATTTTTGGCTAGGCACTGTTTCATTATAAGTCCTTCATTTAACCATTATGTTTTGTAAATAATTTTAAAATTTTTTTTTATTGAAATACCGTGCAAGGACAAAAAATATCGAACGTTGATTAGATTTAATTTTACCTATTTTTAGAAATTTTAAGAATATAAATAAAACTGATTTGAAACACAGAATGCTGTCCCTTCGAGAAGTCCTTTAAGTTTGTTTGTCACCGGAAGTAGAATTTCAAGCAAGGAAATCAAGAAGGAGAGAACTGACCTCGCCATTTCCGAATAACGTTTCCTTTGCAACAAAGGGAAGTGACCAATTGATTGCACAAAATTTCACTAAAAACTTCAGCAAGAATTTTATTTCAACTCATTTGCATACTCAAAACCAAAAATTGAGTTTAAACAAAGTGAACTTTTAAATTCGTTCTATCTTAAAATTATTTTTGCTTTTAGAGCAATGAGCTCAATTAACATTTATAGAAGACAAATATGTATAGAAAAGAATCTCAAAAACTAAAGGGAGTTATTCCCATTGTCAAAACCGCAGTTTCAGAAAATTCAGAAATCATTAACATTTTCATAACGGAATGTTCCTAATATTCAAAATGTTCGTTTTCAAAAATAAATGAAGACGTAATTTTTTAAATCATTTTCCGTTAATTTTTTATTTACACATTTATTTTGTGTCAGTGATTATAATTTTTTAAAATCATGTTCATATGTACCATTGCGTCCCTCTTTTTTAAATTTCGAACCAGTATCAGAATTATGCCATAATATTTTCAATTCTTCTTTTTTTTTCAAAGTAGAAAAATGTTAATTGCGATGGAATTAAAATTATTAGTAGGTATGTATTTTTATGTCAAAAACTAATAGTCTTGTCCGCATTTTAAAATTCGAATTAATTTTCATAAATTTACAACGCATGCCTATTGCCTGCTTTCGATGAAATTCATTTACATGATTCAAAATAGTTATGAAAATATTTATACATTTCATTTTTAATATTTTTATTCTTTTATTCATTGTATGTTTTTACGTAAAGGAATGTTAATCGAGATGGAATTAAAATTACTGGCAGATATGTATTTTTATGTTGAAAGCTAAGGAGAACTTAGTCCTAATTTTAATATTCGGATTAATTTTAATAAATTTACAATGTATGTCTATCGACTGTTTTCGATGAAATTGATTTACCGAAATAGATCAGAAAATACTTATTTTATTTTATTTATTTTAATGTATAAAAATGTTAAACTCGATGGAATTAAAATTATTTGTAGGTACATATTTTTATGACGAAAAATCGGAAAAGCCTTGCCCTTATTTTAAAATTCGGAATTCATTTTAATAACGTGTTCAACGCTTATCTTAATCTTGAGATTAACGCTTGAGATTGTTTTCGATGAAATTCTTTTACATGAGTCAAAATAGTTAAGGAAAAAAAAAACCTTTTTTTTTTTAAGAGATGGAAGAGTGTTCATCGCGAAAGAAATAGAATTATTTGTTGATACGTATTACGTCGAAAAATAAGAAATATACCTTTATTTTTAAGATTCGAATTCATTTTAATACATTTTCTACGTTATCGACTCTTTTAGACGTAATCCATCAACTCTATCCGAAATATTTAACAAAAAAAATTATACTTATTTATATTTCTGAATATAGCATGGCCTTACAGTTTGTTTTCATTAAAAACTTTTTCGGATTATTTTAATTAGAGCAATTTATGTGAATATTTTTATAAATAAGTAAAAAGAGAGTTTTACTGTGTTCTTTTTTTCGCAAGTTCTGTATATCTAGCCTTGATTTCAACCCATGTCCTTGATTTCATCCATGTTGAAATGAAAAGAAATTCATTTCCTTAGGCAGAAATAAATTCCTACGTTTGTAGATTTTTTTCTTCTTTTCTTTCCCTTCATATTCTAAATTTTGCAACCTAAATGAATGCCTTTTTTATAATAAATTTAAGAAAAGGTTTAAATTTAAAAAAAATTGAATCTTGTGAGCGAATATTTAAGCAACTAAATTTTTAAATTCAAGTTAAGAGAACCGTCTTTTTTTTTTTAAACATGACAATTTACGGAACTCCTCACTCATCATCCCATTGGGTGCTCAAGTAAGAGAAAATAAAAACACCTCATAAAGCCTCGGATTCAAAAGAGCCCAAGATTCTTTTGAATCTGAGTTCCAGCTCTGACGTTAACACAAGCCATTTATGCTAAACTACAAAACTTACAAGATATTTATTGAATTATTTTTAGAAATTATAGTGTAAAATGAAAAAGAAACATTGAACATTTATTTTTCGTTAAGAATGAATCGATAAATGGGTGACCTTTTACTATTTTAGAATTAAGAATTATTTAACTTTGTGTTACGAGAAAAATTGAAGCGATTCGATTTCTCTCTCTTCTAATGAATGAACCGCACCCAGGAGTTTTTTGGAAAACTGTCATGGGATACTATTGAATTATTCAATGAACTTATCTCATCAAAACACTTTAGAGACCACTTGGTTCAATTTCCTATTCTGTAGTTGGTTGTGGTTGTGGTTAATTTACGTCGCACTAGAGCTGCACAATGGGCTATTGGCGACGGTCTGGGAAACATCCCGGAGGATGATCCGAAGACATGCCATCACAATTTTGATCCTCTGCGGAGGGGATGGCACCCCTGCTTCGGTAGCCCGACGACCTGCGCGCGAAGTCGAGCACTTTACGGTAGCACAGTTTAACGAGGACCAATACCGCACACCCTCGGTCCCTACGCAGACTGATCCAAGTGGTCACCCACCCGCACACTGACCGTAGCCAGTGATGCTTGACTTCGGTGATCTGCTGAGAACCGTGTCTTAACGATCAGTCCACTGCGGGACTTCCTATTCTGTATAAAATAGTAATAAATAAATAAAAAAGGAAGCTCTCTAAGAAAAAAGTAGATTTCTCAAAATCTTACTCAATAAGCAGCTTCCGTTTGAAAAACCTCTCAGATGCAAAGAGTATAATTTTATTTAAAAATTAAATTTGCGAGCATTATTAAATCAAAAAATGATTCAATCGTGGAGTGCTTAAATGCATCAATAGATAATGTTTAGAAGTTATTCAAGGTTTTTAATTACATACTTTACAAGAAAAGTGCGTAACGAATTTCGGATCAGTCATTAAGTACCCTAGATAATATTTACTTCGATACATCATTTGTTTGATGAACCGATGTCAAGGGAGCGATCGTGATTGATTTATTAGCCCCACTAAATCATTCTAGCATATCCATCAGAGTTTAATAAGGCAACGTGGCTTTGTAAAATGACGAGGAACGGGTAGACGTCTATTTTTTTTAAGTGCCGGAAATTTGTTTTGCGCTCAAAAAACACTTTTTAATGAATCGAACGAAAATAAGCTTTAATATTTTCTCTCTCTCTCTCTCTGAATTAGAATGTTTAAAAAATATTGAAAATTCGTTGTTTCATGCCATTTTGTAAATATGACACAAATGTAATTTTTTTTTCTTCTCATAAACTTGGTGGGCCTTTCTTGTTAGCCCACGGAACTGCATGAGCACAGTTAGATCGCTTCACTAGGTTTGAAATTTGCAAATTATAGATATTCTTAAAAATATACTTATTGATGTTATTCAATTATATAGAATAGCATTCATATTATTTGACTTACAATGAACGGCAAATGCTAGAAGAAAATTCATGAAAAAAGCACTTCAAACTCCAACATTTTTCGAAAAAATTTTAATCCGAATAAAGCATCCGTGAAGTTGACAAATAAAAATGGTCCCTTCACCAAATTTCAACTCTACTGGCGGATCCTGATTTTCGTCTCCAGATCCGATACTGGACACCCAGATTCGGTCAATTTTGCCAGTGCCGAGCTTTAGGTTCGAATTTATAGTAGCCTTATAATACTATTTATATAAATAATTGCAGTTATAGAAATCCAGTTTCCTAATTTTCAAGCTAAAATGATTGACATCTTGTGCAGAATTCAAGAAAACAAAGTAGATACCACAAGGGAACCCCATAAATATAGGTATCCGCTTAGGAGAAAAACATGCAAGTTCAGAAATCTAATGCTATTTTAACTAAATTAATATGATAGTTAAATAAATACAAAATTAAAAATAGGGAATTACATTAGCATTTATTTAAAGCTAATAAAATTCAATGTTCGAATGTGTATTACTCTTATACTATATTGCTTTCAGCTCATACGTCAATACAATAAGTATGTTATTATTTGTATATATAGGCTTAGAATTTTACAGAAATACCCGATTTTTTACAACAGTTGTAAACAAAGCATGTATAATTTGTTACAAATGGCACAATAATTATTATATTTCTATAACTAATTTGCGCGTCAATTAAAATTAAGTTCCTGGTAAATAAAAGCACGTGTATAAACCGAACCAATTGAAATATATAATAAATTTTTAATAAAAATAATTATTTTTTTAAAAGTAGTTTTTAATTTTTTTTTAAATAAACTTTTTATTTTTACATAATTTAACAAAAATCTCATCTGGAGATTTTATTACATTTTCAGTATAACTTAATTTACGTTTATGTTGAAAAGAAGGAATAAATTTGGCCATCGGTAACTTTATTTCTATTAGAAGGTGTGCTTCTTGCTTAATAATTCGAAAGAACAATTTCCAATTAATTAAATTCTTCCAGCTTAATTACATTTCTCTCACCATCGAGCAAAACCATGGGTGTTTTGGGTAATTTTTTTTTCGCGTTAGTTTTACCGAAAAAGTTCATGAAAGAAATTCACCCCTTGTTTGTTGATTGATCTAGTAGTTACTTTACCTTTTAGGCATTTAAAATTACTAGCTTGCGGAAAAAGAATCGTAACTTTAAGGAAAGTAAAACCGTTATATGAATTTTCTGTTTAACATTAATTAGATGATAAAATTTCTCACCAAGTATCGCAAAAGTTTAAGAAATTGTACTAAAACGGATCTCATTTTATGTAAATAGCGTTATTAGTTATCGCGAATTCAATTTACGGTCTCGCACTTACTATTTTAGCTTATACAGCTAATGACATTTTCGTAGTATAATAAAAGTCAATAAAGTACTGTCAAAATTAGTTTTACTTTTTTCAAAAATACTGGATTACGTAAAATATAAATTGTGTGTGTGTGTGTTTACAAAAATGAGTGTTGAATAATGTCCCCACACAGCATAAAAATATTGGCCCAAGGCCGTTTCGTATTGTTGTCGGTGAAATTGTATTGGCCAGAAAAGGACATGGTATGGTTCCTAGAAGATCCAGATTCTTTGGCTGATAATAGCTTTAACGGTAAAAATTAATACATTTCATAACGATATTTTTTACCTATAAAATATTTCTCTAGCCATTATTTAACAGAATTTACCTGAAATTCCCATTTTTCATCCTTCTTTTCTATCATTTATTATTCATTGCTCTTACTAAATTTTTGATTTTGATTACACGGGGGAAGAAAAAAAAAATTTTTTTGTTGCATGAGATTTTTAGAACGGATCCAAGATACTTTCACGTCGCCGATATCAAATCTGCAATCGGTTTCTCTCTACACGCGACAATTTTTATACAATTTACTGATATAGTGGAAAACCAAGATTTTTTAAAACTTACTCGAGAGTGAATACCGCTTCTTGCTGCATAGAGGGAGTGGTAGACAAAAAGGCATTACATTTCATTTTATAATGCGATACCTTAAGGTCATATGTTTTTAAGCGTTATACAATCAGACAAAAAATAAACTAAATTAAAAATTAGTATGTTTTGAAAACAAAATCTGTAGCTTTCCCAACAAAACTAATCTAGATTTGAAATCCCTACACCCTAATTGGGCAAGATATACAAGGTAACAAAAAATTTGTTCCCCAGTGCTATTATTTCATAATTAAATACTTAATATTAAAAGCAATTATTTTCCCCGTATTTTTAACGATCAAAAATCCAAATCTGTCATCGAAAACTCTTATCTTCATTCAGAACGTTTTTATGTCAGATTTTGTAAATTAATTAATAGTCGACATAAATTAATTAGCATATTTGAAAGAAACCTTTCAAATCATTAAGATTGGCCCTTACTATGTAAAAATCATCATTAAGAATTCTTTTTGGCTTATGGTGCAAAATATTAAAATCTGTTAGATGGCAGATTGAGGGTGTTTCCAATGAACTTCTTTTAAGTACTCTCTGTTTACTCCCACAATTAAACAGGTTTTTTTGTTTTGGGCACCTTCCTCAATTAGGATTTGTCATTCTTTGTTAGTTTTTTTCATCTTTTTCTATTTCCCATAGCTAAATATTAATTTACAATCCCCCCTTGTGTATAGATTTTTTTGTTAGAATTTTAAAAATAAGCATGAAGGGGAAGTTTTGAGGATTAGCCCGAATAGAGATGCCAAATAACAATACTGGATATTTATGGGTCAATTCTGTTTCAGATATTTCTCTTGTCTTTTTATTCAACAGCTTTGCAACTGTTGAAACTAAATTTATTAAAAAAAAATGATGCACACACAGTCTAAATGCTTTATAAAAATATTTATTCAACAAGATTTAGACATTTATAAATGCATATATTTATAAAAATATATAATTATAATATATAAAAAGTATTTTTATACTCAAAAACATACAAGTGTTTTAACATCATTATCACAATATTGTATTAATTATTCAATCACATTTTAACAGGAAAAAAATTACGCATATTAAATTTATTTGTATGTCAGACTATACTATGACAAAGCATTTGAGGCTGTATTGTAATGAGAAAATCTTTATGAAAACTTTTTTCCCGTTTTGTTTATCGTATATGACAGATGAGAATAATTTAGTTAAATAAAAAAATCAGTTAATATATTTTAGAAATTAAAGGAAATTTTGCTCTAGCTTGTTTTAATCCAATTTTTCATATAAAATGTAATATATAAGATAAATTCTTTAGCTTTATTAATAAAATTAAACTTTGTTATTGTGAATGACTTTATATGTTTTTTTCTCTCACCCATTTTGCTTTTAATATTTAAAAAATATTATCATTCCTGCTCAAAGCAAAAAATAGTCATATAGAAATATTGCTTGCAGTTTTGAAGATAAGTGTTATAAAAACGAAAAAATAAAAGGGAAAAAAAAACTTTGAAAATAATGAAACTTATTTCTGCATCTTCAAACTCATCTTTTTTCTTCTTTTCAAAATGCTGCCAAGAAGAAAATTTATTCTAAAAAAACGTAATCTTCCTCCTTGCTCTTCCTTCACGTGCTAAACAGCTAAAACAAACGGGGGGAAAATACGAACTTAGGTAATCTCTTCGAATCACACGGAAGAGTAGCTCAGTTCCATACCCTGATATATTTTATTGAGACGAATAAACAGTATAAAATGGTTCTTAAAGAGAGTACCGCTTTTTATATAAAAAAATTGTATACTGAAAATCAGTAAATGCTTAGAAATAAATTGTTTGTATGTGTTCATTGAAAGAAGCGTAGAATGAGACATATTTGATAAAGATTATGCCTTTTTTTAGTATTACACCTTTTAAAACAATTTTAAAAAGTTAGTTAACAGCTTAATAAAATCTGTCCCTACAAAAGAATTCAATATTAGAATTGTATTTTAAATTAAAGCATCTGATATTTAAAAATCTAGATCAGATGAATTTAATTCATTAAAATTTAAATGCTCAGGAAAAAAAATTTAAAAAGTTATAAATTAACAGAAAACCCTTAATCTGTGAAACTGTCACTTTTGACAGCATAGGAAACATAAATATATAAGATAAATTAAATGTCTTTTGAAGTAAAGTAAAATTAGGCTGAAACAACCTCAATTTTAAGAAAATTTTCCAATTATCAAGTTATATTTGTGCACTTTTTTTGGAAATAAAATTTTTAACAGGAAGATCAAATTAATGAAAAAAATGAATTATGGTAAAAAAAAATAATAACTTATTGCTTATATACAGAAATTTCCCAACAAATAAATAAAAATAATTTTTTTCAAATGAAAAAAGTATAACTGTAGAATTTTTTTTCCCTCATGTATAGAATACAGACAAAAAAATTTTTTTTAACATTACAAAGTTAGAAACAAACGCAGTTAATTGTTTCTTTAATATGTATGAGCTTAAATTGAAACATTGATATAAATTCGAAATGAAAAAGTTTTTTTCTTTTTTCAAAGAACAAAAAACAGACTTTACAAACAGTATATTCTGAAATGCGTCATTGTAAAAAGCAGGTAGGATAAGAATTATAACTTAAATATTTATTCTTCAAATAGGCAATGGTGGCATGTTTTCTTCCATGAAACGAACGAATAGCATTAATAATGAAACTTTTGAGATATGTATAAATCTATGTACATATTACAAGTAAAAAAACAGATATTATAGGAACCAAGGTAGTTATTGCTCACACAGGCGTGCTTACATATTTTTTCTCTCCAAGAAACCCATAAACAGAAGTAGTAAACAAAATATTCTGAGATTCAAATATATGTCTTATTGTAAACATATTTTAAGAAATATAAATCAAACTATAATTATTGATCACTAAGGTATGTTGGCACATTTTTTTCACATAAAGAAATAAGTAGAACAAATAGTTTCGAAGGAAAGAAAAAAGGAATTAATAAAAAAACTTTTTTGAGATTCAAAATCTACATTTCAAGAGTAGAATACAGATATTATACAGACAATAGATAAAACAGAACTATAAAATACTGTAGTAAAAATAGTAATCAAAAATAGTTATTGTACACTGAAGCATATTGGCAAGTTTTTTTCAAAGAACAAATAAGTAGAATTAGTAAGAAACCATTTTGAGATTCAAATCTACATATTATAGTAGATTGCAGATATTATAGACAGAAAAGATAAAAACAGAATTATAACTCAAAAAACAACTATAGTTCTTTAAGACATATTGCCATGTTTTCCCAAGGAACAAATAAATAGAATTAGTAAAAATAAAAAAAATAACTTTTTGAGATTCAAATCTACATGTTATAGTAGAATACAGATATTAAAGTAAAATACATATATTATAGTAGAATACAAATATTATTGATTGAAAAGATAAAACAGAAATATAACTCAAATAACAGTTATTGTTCACTAAGGCATATTGGCATATTTTTCCAAAGGAAAATTAAGTAGAATTAATAAACAAAATATTCTTATATTCCAATGTGTATAATAGTAAAAAAAAATTATATAATATAGAAAAACTAAAAATCAGATATTATTCACAAAGGCATGTTGGCGTGTTTTTTCCAAGGAACGTCCATTTTTTTCTTCTGAAGGAGATCCAAATCACGACACAATCTTATTCTGGTAGTGCTTGGATCTATTATATCATCAATAAAACCTAGATTTTCCAAAAATACAAAAGTTTAGAAGATATATTATATGTTTAGTTGAATTATAGTTAGTTCTGCAATTGTTTTCAATACATTATATGTTAGTTCTGCAATTTGTTTCCAAATATATATAATTCTAAAATAAAAAGATGACCAAGGGATATTAATTTAACATTTGAACTGAAAGATAAAACTAAGTAATGTAAGAAAACGGTTAAGGTAACAAAAGCTACGAATAAAAATATAAATGCTAGCAATAATTATCAACAACACATTTTTAAGTAAAGTTATTACATCACATTGAATGAAAAATGTAGTGGAATTGAAGTTCGTCAAAAAAAAAAAATAGAACATAAAAATTATGCGCAGCCAAAACTTTTACTGAATTTTAACAAGGAAAAATTTTGGTATCAAGAAACTTATTTTTTAGCTTAAAACTTGTTAATTCTTTCATCGACTAGTAAAATAGTACCTCTGACAGATGCAGAAAATGGGTTTGTAAACTTTTCAACATATTCTTGTTCTCGCTGTAAAACATCAGCTTTTCCTCTATAAAGAATTGAGACAGCGCCTTTCGCTCCCATGACAGCAATTTCTGCAGTAGGCCAAGCATAGTTTATGTCTCCCCTCAGATGCTTTGAGCTCATCACATCATAGGCTCCTCCATATGCCTAAAAAATAAACAAAAGCATATTTAGGCATGATGAACAAACACTAAATGAATACAAGCATAACTTCTTTTTACGACATGTTCCAAAATAAACCAGCAACATGAAATAGAATGCGTAACCAAATTTTTCATCAAAAAATAATCACTTTTTAAGTATTTTTTAAGTACTCAAAAAACATTTTTAAGTACTTTAAAACAATATCATGATTAGGTTATACACATACTTTTTTTTCTTCTTCTAATTGTTGAAAGTTCTTCATATATATGTTAACTAAAATTCTAAATAATTTTCAAAGACTTTACATGATCATGATAAAATTTAACTCTACTTTCTTTCTGGATAAGTAACATCCCTGAATAGCTTATAAAAATTATTCAATAAAAATATTAATATTTATTATTATTTTTATAGTTCACACATTATATCGTCTCTAAAAGATAATCATACCAAAATAATGCTAAAAAAATTTTATTATTTTTTTATTAAATAGGAAAAACTTTGTTTTAGTAGAAAAAAATATATAAAAAAACAGTGATATTTACAAACTTTTGAAAATGCACAAACTAACATGGCGAAACTAACTATTAACAAATACAAAAACGTGGATTGCAAGACGATACCTTTCGAGTGATGACAGTTATTTTAGGCACAGTGGCTTCAGCAAATGCATACAACAATTTTGCACCATGTCTAATAATTCCACCATATTCCTGATTTGTACCTGGAAAATATCACAAATTTGAAATACTACATTTTACTAAATGTCAGTGGATATTTCAGAAAATAAGGTAACTGCCATTTTCAAGTTTATGAGAAAAATCAACTTTGAAAAAATTAAAATTCTATTTTTTCATATGCATTGCAATTTTCTATGAATAGACAGCATAAATGTCTGGTTTGTCAAACGAAAATGAATGGAGTAAACTGAAATAAATCATAACTTACTTCTGTAAAAAGTTGTCTGTTATGATGTTTTTGTTTGAAAACCAAGAATGTTATCAATCAACCTGATAACATAGAACACTATTATAATGTGTCTACATGTATAAGGGACGAGCAAAATAAGTTCCTTTTCAGCGAATTTGGATTTCCGACTTTGTAAAGCAAAAAAAAAAAAATAGCTCTTCGAAAAAAAAAAATTTCCTCTGCCAAGATGAGCTTGAAAAAAAAAAACTCTTAATTTTGCTGCTATTTCTGAAAAAGTTCACAACATAAATATAATGTACATATATGGAACTATTTTTATGACAAACCCTCATACAAACATTTTTGTGATCAATAAAGAACTAATATGCTTAAAAAGATGTGGGGCATATTCTAAGAAAAAGGAGGAATTAATATTAAAATACAAAAATATATTTATTTATAAGGAATTAAAATAGAAATCTTACTCTTTAAATATTTCCAAAATTGAGATATAAATTTTTAAGGTCATAAATTTTTTAATCTTTGGAACAGTCTGTTTAAGAATAGGTACCTGCATCCCATCTTTGAACAATCATCAAAAATCTTCTCCACCAAGTTTTTATTTTATTTTGAGAGTTATGTCACACAAGGAAGGGTACATCATTTCATGTCTTAACAATTTATAATACTGAAGCAGAAAAATAATCTTACTTTCAAAAGTATTGCTCATATCTAATATTCAGCTTCATTACGAAAAGAATAATTAAAATTTAGTTTTTTGAAATGAAATTCTTTGGTAATATAATGACAAGCTACGGTCATAAATTGTTTAAATGAGCATATTTGGTGAAAAACAACATGACGTACGTCGAACAAAGAATAAGATGCTATTATTAAAAGAAATTGTGCAATTTTGTAAAGTAGTCATCTGGAAACAATATTAAGAAACAATTATATATAAAAGCTTCACCTTTGGAAAAATACGGCTCACCCATATGCTACCAAAAATTTTAATAACAAAATACAGTTTTCTACAATTGACAAGCGATAAATGTACTTTTTCAAAGGTAAATTTCATGAAAAAATGCAGAGGGGAAAAAAGAGCTCACCAGGTAGAAATCCAGGTACATCGACAAATGTTATGATTGGAATATTGAAAGCATCACAAAATCTAACAAAACGTGCTCCTTTTACAGATGCATTAATATCCAGGCAACCTGTAATTCACATATAATCTGAAATCTTAACAAAAGTATTTAATAAATAACCTACTATTCAAAGAATGAAATTACTACAAACTATATCAAAACCAAATGAGATTTATTTTTCACAAAAGCATTTATGTTTAGGCAACCTGTAAATCGAATACTAATTAGAATCCCAACAAAATATAATCGTAACAAATAACTTATCACTAAAATTATGAAAGCATCACAAAATAATTATTTTTTTTACCATTTTTACAGAAGCAATTTGCTAAAAAAAACTACAATTTAAATTATAACTGAAATAGCAATAGCAATAACTACACTGTAAATAATAAATTAAATTGATGGTGTCTTTTGAAGTGAAAACATACTAGAGTAAGCAAATCATGTGGAATTAGAAATTAAAGTGTGAAAAAATGTGAAATGTGAAAAAGTGTGAATGTGATTATTTTAAAGTGTGAAAAAATGTGAAATCTCACTCAACAGAAAAAACATTCAATAATTTGATCTTTAAAAAAATTAAATGAAAATAATGAATTAATATTTAACTTATTGATTAAAAAATCTTAATTAACTTGATTAAATATAATTCAACTAATTAAATCTTATTTATCTTTTTTTTAAAAAACAAAAAGAAAATCATAATATCTTAGCTTTTTGTTTGTCTTAATTATTTATAATTAATTTCTGACAAAAAATAAAATAGAATTAAAGCATTTGTTATAAAAAAATATGTATTATTTCAGATTATTTAAGCTGTAGATTTAGGTCTCCATAACTCAAAACTTTTCTTCAAACTTAAGAATGAGCTACAAGAAGAGTCTCAACCTGAGAAAATTAATTAATTAATTTTGAAGAACAGTATTTATCATATAACTTATTATTGAATATTGAAATCTTGAAAGTAACACTTTAAATTTAGGGAAACCATTAAATTAAGATATTAACTGACAAAATTTTTACTTTTTTCTTCAGCATAGTATATTTGAGAGTACATAAATCATATTTACCAGCAGAATATTTTGGATTATTTCCAACCATTCCAACAGTACGACCGTTCATCCTTCCAAACCCAACAACAATATTTTTGGCATAATTAGGCATTATTTCAAAGAAGTCTCTTTCATCAACAATCTGAGAAAAGTTAAAATTAATAAAAAAATTTAATATAGAAAATTTTACAGTACAAATAATAAAGTACAAATAGTTCAAACACAAATATTAATTTTAATTTATTATTACCTTCATAACGTGTCTCAAAAATATACGAAAATAACATTTAAAAACTAAAAAGATTGTGTTAATGTTTTATAATAAAATCATATATGCAGACATTTCCGATTGTTTGAAATAAAAAATAACAGTTGAATATTTAACATTAATTTAAAAAACCCTTGAAATCATATAATAAATTAGCAGTTTAAAATTAAAAAATACCAGCAATATAATTTAAAAAAGTCAAAATAATACTTCCTTTAAATATAAGAAATTTTAGAAAATGTTAATAATTTACATTTAATTTAATCAAACCATACTAAAAATTAAGAGAAAATTGGCATTGCTGTTTATTTACATAGAAATTTGTGTTTTCTTTTTTCCTTCTAATTCAAAATAATAAAGAGCCTATTTAATCAATAATGACATCAATCTTCAATTGTTTAGCATCAGTTTTTTACTTTTGGTGCAATTTGCTGTGGTAGTTTTATTGAACTAAAATTATAATTAAAAAATCAAGCTACTATTTAGTGCAGTATAAATAGTTTAGCAATAATACACACAAAATTCTCCATTTTCACAGAACATTAATAATTAAATAAACAATTTTTAGTGCACTTATATGTTTAACATATGTTTTGGGGTAGATAGGGCAAAATTTTAAAAATATTTTATTTTGAAGCAATTTAAAGCTGAGCTATATTCCATGCAAGTGTAGGTTTGGTTAGGAAACAATGCAGCATTAAATTTAAATTATTTAAATCATGAGGAATTTGTTTAACAAGAATAGCAAAAATTATTTTTGATGCTGTAAAAAACATTAAATAGTGTTTATTGAAACTAAGACTAGCGCAATACAAATTTACAAGTTGAGCAACATAAAATATTTTGCAATATACGTGATTTTTTTAAAACAAGCTTTATTACTTTAAAGATGCGTAGAATTATAATTTTCCAAAAACCTTTTTCCCTATGACTTGCAGCTTAGAACTAACTATTTTTCTGTAAAATGGGTTACCATGGAAATACATAATCTTTTTCGCCACAAATTTTTCTTGTAAAGGAAATTTTAAATGCTACAACTATAAAGAAATTGATATCAACTTACATCTAGAATAACATCTAACATATTATAGCCAGCGGTTGTTTCTAGAGGAATAACTGTATCCAGACTTTGGACAATTCTATCCCTATATGTAGAAATGAAATAAAATCGATATATGAAACATAATATACATAAGCATTACTGGGGTAAAATAAAATTTACACAAATGAAATACAAAAGCTTTGAAAAACTTAAATTAAATATTTCATTTAAAAAAAACTAATGCTAAGATGATGCCTATTTTAAATTTGTTTCATTTTTTGCAAAGAAAATAATGAAATTGATTAAAATCGATCAACATACACATTTGATTATTAATATTGCATTAAACAAGAACAACAGTAATGGACTAAATGCAACAATCTGGAATTATTTACATAATCTAGGAAACAAAATATAAAGAATGAAGGTAGATATTTATACACATATACAGCATTTTTTTCTGAAAATTAAAATAGTCAATTTAAAATAGCAAGACAAAAGTGAACAAAAATTGAATTCAAAAATAAAGTATTAAACATAAAAACAACCCATTAAGTAAAGAACTATACTGAAATTACATGGCAATCTTTTACAGATGTTTAATATAATATAAGTAAATGTTTTGACTCAGCATCTAAATAAAATTTGTATTTTATAAATATTTTATTTTATTTACTTTTAAATATTTAATTAAAAAAATTAATACTGTTCAAATGATCAAAGCTGTAATTATCCAGAACATGTGTATAAAAAATTTAACAGAAAACAAAACAAATTTAAATTTTGCAACCGTGCACAATGCGCCAAAAAAGAAACTGGATCACCATGTATAACTTTTGATCTAATACTTCGATCTTCACAATTTATGACTTATTCTTAATGGTTCGAGTGGTTGACGTCAAATATGCTGATTAATTAGTGAAGACGATATTTTAAGTAACGAAATCAGACACAAAAATGCAATTTCTCTGAATAAGCATACCCTTTTGTTTAAGTAATTCGTATTTCTGATTTTTTGCGTATTTCGCCATATCTCCAGAACTTTCTAAGCAAAAAGAGAAATTTTTGCCTACAATTATAAAAATCATTTATAAAAAGATAATTCCATGAAAAAAATAAATTTTAGTAAATGCTAGATGCTAGTATAAGGTAAACTTACTCTTCATGGTCATTTTGTACGCTAGCAAAAATTCCATACACTGTACTTTTAAAAAAATAAAAATTATGAATCGACTATAATTTTATGGATTTTGAAAATTATAAAATACATAATCATTCTTAACTACCTTGAAAACTTCATATTAAATATTGTACAAATTAAGATTCAAATAGTTTCAGATTAAATACTAATAGTTACCATGGGTCATCACATTCTCTAACTGGGGGAGGATCAGTACTGCTGAGGGGAAGGAAATTAAAAAATTTTCTCAAATTTAGAAGTGTATCAACATCATTTTCAAATGAATTATGAGCAACTCCTACAGGAAAACAACACAGGTTAAAACAGTTTAGGAAACTTATGACAAACAAATTTGTAAATTTTTTCACTGTTCTCTTTTTTTTTAAATTGAAATTACCTGATATAGTAGTATGAGTTTTTGCTCCACCCAGTTCTTCTTGTGTAACATCTTCATTTGTAACAGCCTAAATTATATAATGAAAAATTAACCATTTATGAAGAAAATCCATCTAAACTGTTTTCTTATGTCATGAATAATTCCAAGAAAACTAAAGATAAAAATACTTAAAATATAAGTTTATTTTCCTTCACAGTAAAAATCGGGGAAAGATCAAGATGTTTTCATAATGCCAAAATTCCTCTCGACTCCGGCCTAATTAACTTAATTTTATGCTCTTGAGCAGCCTTTCAAATTTTTTTCAGTTATTGAACCCTAAACGATCTTCTTTTAATTTGCAATTTATGTTTAATAGCTATTGTGAACATATTATTAAAAAAAAAAAAGACTAGTCATTATTTTGAATTTAAATAATTCAATTTTTTTCATTGTTTTATCCATCTTAATCTAAGGTCAAACAGTTGAATTCACAGGTCTGAAGAAGTATCTAGTCTAGTTTAGAATTTGTTTTCTTTTTCTTTTCTGTAAGTTGAAAAACATAAAATAAGCCTAAATAGTGGTTATAGCTGTAATAAAAAAGAAATGTTACAAGCAATCAAAGAAACATTTTTAGTTAGTGCTGCTTTTTTTTAATTGAAAAATTTAAGAGAAATTCATAATATTGCTATTTTTCATCAATAAATATTCATTTCATAATGTATTCATACATTATTGTCAGGAAAAATAAATTTTTTTCTTTCAAAATTTTCTAGTTTCTTTTTCTGGTATTTTACTTAAATAATTTCATGATAATAACCAAAAAAATTAAATAACTTTTGGATTATTAGTTGGATATAAGGTTTCAAATACCATCAACTAAAAAAATTCTTGACTCCCAGAACCTACAGGACTCAGGGGTTCCATGGAACACCTTTTGGGAGTCACTGCTCTTGAGCCCTGTTTCATTTATATCAGCACTAATTCCCCAATTCATAATCTCAATTTTTCTCAGCGCCTGAAAAACTCATGGAAAAGTGTTTAGTCCTGATTTGCCTTTTTTAACCACTGTTAGTAACCCTTCAGCTTCGGCAGTTTTTGCTTTTCTCATTGATATTTTCCTTTAAATTTTTGACTGACAATTGTTCATTTTCACTTTCATCATTCATGCGTCATTCTGAAGAAGAGTGTCATGATATGTCAACTTTTTTCTTTCATTCCTAAATTTTTATTTTCACTCATTTTATGTACTCACCATGCCTGAAATCTACACTTAAAATGAATTGAACATATACTAACCTTCACTACTTCTGGTCCCGTAATGAAGAGATAGGACGTATTCTGAAAAAAGAATTTAACACATAAGACAAACTTTAAAAACAATCATAATATAAATTTTGGGGATAAGAAAGATCATGGAGACACTCTTAATTGCAATACAGAATGTAGATGTTTCTTTAAAGCTAAAAACCTCTTTTAAAAGCTTTTAAGATGTTAAGAATATGCTGAACATAAGCAGGGCCATAATGCAATTTAATGCAAGACTTTCAAGAATAAAAGTTTAAATTTAGTCATCATTTTTTATTTTGGTGTTTTAAATGTGTGTGTGTGTGAATGAACTTTAGGGTACAACAATGGTTTACTAAATGACACGTTTGTGAATGCTTAAAAAGTTTAAATAGTTATTCAAGTCATTTTCTAAGCTGAAAGAAAGCAACAAAAAAAAACAATTTACAGTAATTCTAATTTAATATTTCTGAAATGTATAGATAAAAATTAGTTATTACTTTTCATTTACTTCATTTATTTTTACTTCAGCATATACATTTTAAATCAAGAATTTAAAAATATTCAATGAAAAGATAAACTATTAAGGTAGCTTTCTGAAAACTATAACGGAAAAATATCAGGAAATGGAATATCAGAATAAGAATACAAATGTATAAGCTTAACAATAAACAATAAGGATCAATATCTGGTAGACAGAACTAGTTTTTGTTTTTATCATTAGTACTTTGTATGTGATAATTAAGAACAAAAAATTATTAATCCGTACAGGATGATTCTAGGATTATTGGACAAACTTGGAGAGGCGGTTGACATATTTTTAAAAGCATATTTTTTGTTTAGATAGTAGTACTTTATCTTATGTCGCACTAGAGCTGCACTATTTTTTTTTTCATAGGAATGTAGGGTCTAAAGTAATGTGTTAAGGCATAAAAGTATGATGTGGAGGTTCAAAACTACTTGGATGCAAATTTTGCGGAGTGATGGATTTTGCATGGTGGACCAGTCAAATGGCCCCCATATGGAATTATCCAGGTTGGAGTTTTTATGGGGAGCATCATGTGCGAGACTCCTGTTGACTCACCGGAGGACTTCAATGCATAACTATCCATTGCAACTGCAAGAACGTGCAAAATGCCTGCTATTTAGTTTGTGAATCTCTTCTAAAACCCTAACATGCATATATTACCTTTAATAATCACAATTTTTATCACTTAGTGAGAATACTGTATAGCTGAAAAGAAGCACTTTGTGTTGATTTTGTAAATAAACACATTTTTTTTTCATGTTTCATTATGAACTGCAGCAAATAAAGTTTTACTAAACATGTAAACTTACTTTAACCATGAATATGAAATCTGTGAGAGCAGGAGAGTAAACAGCACCTCCAGCACACGGACCCATAATAACAGAAATTTGTGGCACGACACCTGACGCCAAAACATTTCGCTGGAAGATATCTGCATAGCCTGCCAGGGATTCAACTCCCTCTTGAATTCGAGCTCCTCCTGAATCATTGATTCCTATGACTGGAGCCCCCACCAGTATTGCTTGGTCCATGATCTGATTGAGAAAAAAAAGACGAGAGAGAGAAAGCATGCAGCTTTTTTAATTGAATTTTTAGAGAGAAAAAACATAATACAACAAAAAACTTACTTTGCATATTTTTTTGGCATGAACAGAAGATAAACTTCCTCCAAAAACAGTAAAATCCTGAAATGCATATTTTAAAATGAATTGATCATAAATGAAATATTAAGTCCTTAGAAATTTGTTATATATAGCTCATAATACTATCACTTAATAAATTAAAATACTTTGAAATTTCTTCTACTGAATGCAGACATTTTAACAGTTGAACAAAACCATCTCAAAAATTAATGTTTTAAATTCTTTTATACATTCCTTTTTTTCTTTTTTTTTTATTAAAGTCTAACACAAATTTAGCAATTTATACTTTTGGTTACAAGTTTGAAATATTAATTTAGGTATTAAGTATAAATAAAATTGTGTATAAATAAATTTATATTAGTCTTGAAAAAATAGTTTTGGCTACAAATTTAAAATATTAATTAAGGTACTAGGAAAGGAATTATAAATATTTGAGTTTAAAATGTTTTAAAATTGAAAGAAATATCTTTAAGAGAAAGGAGTAAATTAAACATTTCCATATCTCCTCCCTCTACATTCTACTTAACTTTAATAGAATGGAAAACTCAGTTTAATGTAAACAACTCTGGTAGCATAGAATAAACATCCCGCATTATTATAGTAACAAACACACTATTCATCAAATAAAGCTTTTAATAATAAATTACTTACTTGACTGAAAATAAATGCTTTTCTTCCGTGAATGAGACCATGTCCGGTCACAACGCTGTCACCAGGATACTATAATAAATTTATATTTATCAATTTCTTTTTTAATGAAAAGTAAAACATAAATTACTATGCAAATTGCGTTAGTACACTATAAGGAAAACTTTAAACACTAAAAGGATAAACAAATACACTTAAAAATGAAAATTATTTACTCAAAGACAACAATTAAGTAAAACTTAGATATTTTTTTTCTTTTTGCCTTTTGAGCTAATCATTACAACTATCTGTGGTTTAAGAGAAAATATGGAAGTAACATGTACTTGTATGTAGAATTGTTAAGTAAATGTTAAAGTAAACTTGTGCCTTTATAGAAATTGACATAAATTTTAAACGAAAGTTAAACACCAAGTAACATTTTCAAGACATAAAGCATATTTCACAAAATAACTATCAGATATTAAAAAACACTACTTATGTTTAGTTCAATTTCCAAATCAAAGTCTTACTTTGAACATCTGCTTATAACAGTACATTTATCTCAAATATTGAAAAAATTCATATTAATAACCATAAATTAGTCATTTCAATCAATTTAGGAATTCAGTATCTGAACTAGAAACTGTTTCTTGGATTTGAAGTGACATAAAAATCTCAATTGGCCAAAACTTCTTTTATTAAGGTAAGAAAAGGTTTTCACATTACGTTAATAAAATATGGATGCTCAATCAATTAAAAATACCGTATATTCCGAGACACGTGCCCCGGCGTATAACATGCACCCGTAATTTCTAATACACTTTTTTTAAATTTTAAGATATATTCTTTGTATAACACTCACGAAAATTTGGATTGTACATGTGCAATATCTCGACTTTTAAGATCGTAAATAAAAAGTTCTTTTCCTATCTTTTGCAAAAATAAAAGAACTGAATTTGACATGTATGTGAGGGTAGAATTGAAAGAGCAATAATGTGATTCTGGATGGACAAAAATGGTGTTAAATTGTGGGTAAAAAACATCTGGCAAATCCGTCCTGGTTGCGTAAGAAAACCAGAAAGCCTTTTAGAGTGGGACATGTTTAGGTCCCACCTTACAGATAATACAAAAAAAGTTGTAATTATAATACAAAAAAATTTTAATAATTGTAATTGATAGCGGAAGACGAATATAATGAACTATTTATGTAATAACGAAAATCAATGAAGTATATAGGTAAAGGTATGTTATTTCTTTAAAATAAAAGTATTTTTCTATATTTAAATTTTTTTAATCTATAATTTTTTATATTCGGCGTATACCGCGCACCCGTAAATT